GGGTCCAGGGCTGGGCTCCCCAGAAGGACAAGGAGCTGCTGGAGAGGGGACAGCAAAGGCCACCAAGGGGCTGAGGGGACTGGAGCATCTGGCCCATGAGGAAAGGCTGAGGGAGCTGGGGCTGTGGAACTGGAGAGGAGGAGCCTGAGGGGGGGTCTCCTCAAGGCTGCTCAAGATCTCCAGGGGGGCAGGAGGGGGGGACCAGGCTCTTCTCAGCAGTGCCCAGGGCCAGGACAAGGGGCCATGGGCACCAGCTGGAACATTCTCATCTGGAAACAAAGAGATCAGGAAATCCTGAAAGGTTCCTCCCTTCAGGTCCTAAAATTTCCCCAGATCCATTCCCTCTCCTTGAAGACCAGCAGGAAGAGCTGGGAATTGCCAAGGATGAAGGGATGGAACTGGGAACGTTGAGGAGCAGGAGGTTGAAGGGGAATTGACTGAATGGTCAAGAGGAGACAATCCAGGTGGAAAGACCAGCAGGGTGGGGGTTGCAGTGGGATGTGTCCACAGGGCCTCTGGAGAAGGAATGGGCTTGGTAGGGTTGGGTTAAGGGGTGGTAGAGTTGAGTGATGGGTGGTTGGGTTGGGTGATGGGTGGTAGGGTTGGGTGATGGGTGGTAGGGTTGGATTATGGGTGGTAGGGTTGGATTATGGGTGGTAGGGTTGGATTATGGGTGGTAGGGTTGGATTATGGGTGGTAGGGTTGGGTTATGGTTATGGGTCGTAGGGCTGGGTTAAGGGGTGGTAGGGCTGGGTTATGGGTGATAGGGTTGGGTTAAGGGGTGGTAGGGTTGGGTTATGGTTATGGGTCGTAGGGCTGGGTTAAGGGGTGGTAGGGCCGGGTTATGGTTGGGTTATGGGTGGTAGGGTTGGGTTATGGTTGGGTTAAGGGGTGGTAGGGCTGGGTTATGGTTGGGTTATGGGTGGTAGGGTTGGGTTATGGTTGGGTTAAGGGGTGGTAGGGCTGGGTTATGGTCGGGTTGTGGGTGGTAGGGTTGGGTTATGGTTGGGTGATGGGTGGGAGAGTTGGGTGATGGGTTGGAATCAACGACCTTAAAGGTCTTTTCCAACTAGAACAATTCTGTGATTCTGTGATGGGACCAGGGGGGATGGCTTGAAAGGTGGTAGGGCTGGGTGATGGGTGGGTTGTGGGTGGTAGGGTTGGGTTATGGTTGGGTGATGGGTGGGAGAGTTGGGTGATGGGTTGGAATCAACGACCTTAAAGGTCTTTTCCAACTAGAACAATTCTGTGATTCTGTGATGGGACCAGGGGGGATGGCTTGAAACTGGCAGAGGGAGCACAAGGTTGGACATGAGGAGGAAATTCTTCTCTAGGGCAGGAATTCTTCCCATGGAGGGGGTTGGATCTGGATGATTCTTGAGGTCCCTCCAACCCAACCCATCCCATGGTTCCACCACAACCTGTGCTACTCATGCTCAGATTTGACTGAATTGGCACAATCTGGATGAAACCCCATCAATATGAGCCTGGTGGCTGCAGAAGTCTCTGCTCTCCTCAGAACAGGTTCCTACCATTTTTTTGTCCCTCAGAAATCCAGCAGAAGGATCCCAGTGCCCCACACCAGCTCCTGGGGTCACAGCAGCTGGAATTCCCTTCCTTGGGATGAACCACAGGAAAATCTCCCCAACTTCACACTCAAAACTGACCCAAACCATTGTCATGGTGAACCCTCTCCCCAAAAACCCACCCCCCCATGGCTCAGGAACCAGGTTTTACCTTTGGTGAGGGTCCAATCCACAGCCATCAACATGGCCTTCTCCAAGGGATCTCCCACCAACGTCCCATCATCCAACTGGACCAGTGAGTGGCAGGTGGCGATGGCTCGGTGGGTTTCAACTGGAATGTCACACACTGGGGTCACCTCCTTCCCATCCCTGCAGCAGAAAAAAGATCCCCCCAGCACCCCCAGGTAAAGAGAGGCCCATCCACACATCTCAGAAGAACTCCTGGAGTTCTCCCCAGCCCCCCCCAAAATTCCTTCTCCAAGACATTCAACGCTGGAGCTTCACGCGGTGAGATCAAAGTTCCTGGAAATCTGGCTCTACCTCAACTGAACATGCTGCCAAAATGCATCATTTTTGACAGTTCTCCCCAAAAAAAGGGGTTCAAGAAGAAGCACAGGTTGGACTGGCCTTCAAAACATGTAAATTTTGTCAGTTCTCCACAGAAAATGGGGTTCAAGAAGAAGAACTTGAACTGGCCTTCAAAACACCTATTTTTTGCCAGTTCTCCAGAGAAAATGGGGTTCAAGAAGAAGAAGAGGTTGGATTGGCCTTCAAAACATGTCATTTTTGCCAGTTCTCCCCAAAAAATGTGGTTCAAGCATGAGGAGAGGCATGAACTGACACATTCCAGGAGCTGTGGAATGCAAAACGTGGCTCTTCTGCAGTGTCTGGGCTTCAAGCAAAGGTTGTGGTGGTGGAAGGAGAAGGTGGGATGGATGGAGGAGAAAATGTTGGGAGTTACCTATGCAACAAGTCCCACAAGACCATTAAATTCACAAGTTCTGAGCCTCCAGTCTTAGAATCATGGAATGTTTTAGTTGGGAAAGACCTTAAGACCATCTAGATCCAACCCCACCATGGGCAGGGACACCTCCCAGCAGCCCAGGTTGCTCCAAGCCCCATCCAACCTGCCCTTGGACACTTCCAGGGAT